TTTTTTTTTTTTTTTTTTTTTTGGGGGGGGGGGCACAAATTCACCACAAAATTCCCGTTTTATCTCACAAATTTTGGCAACATCCGAGGGCTCATAGGACGTTCTTTCGCAATACAGAGTTCAGACTGACGGGATTTGAGTGTTGACTTCGAACATTTTTTCTGCCGATTGATTTTTCTGGCTATCGATGAGAGGTATTCTACAGCTGGGCCTGCTCTCCCTAGATCAGGGTGTCTACAGGTCCGGAAAACCCGGAGATTACTCTTTTTTTAGGGTGGCTCCAGTGGCGTGGTGTGCTTTGCGATATATCGATTGTTATGCCATTTAAACCTATGGAAAATGATCGATGAATAGGGTGTTCGCTACGAACACCTTAATAATCGATTCTTTACCATACGTTTAAATTGCAAAACGATCGATACATCGCAATTTACGCCACGCCACTGCGTGGCTCGGAAGCAATCGTAATGCGTGTTTTTTAAAGACAGCTTGGAAAGTATGCAATCTCCTGCGCACTAATTCTTTGTCTTGCATCAACGCACGTTTTGCTTTCCTTCTCAATGGTTAAAGTTTCCTAGTAATTCTGTCGCGCTAAGGAAGAACGCCGTATGAGCATTCGAAACTTGCCAAATTTTCTTCAGTAAAATGTTAATTTTTGAGAAAAGTTATGAACATTTTTTCTAGAAATTTTCAGGAGCTTTAGGTGAAATTGCTAACAACATAATCTGAAAAATTGGGAAAAAAATATTCATACATTTAGTAGGAAATTCGTGTTTTATCAAAGGAAATATGGGATCGCCTGAAGGTTCATACGGCGTTTTTCCATAGCACGCATCGCATCACTAGCAGTATAGGATCTATGGTTTGTAACCATTGTGTTACACTGCACCGTTCCGAGTCTATCACAAGGGGACTTTAACGCAGGAGTAGAAAAGCAGAAAAGCAGGAAACTTTAGGTGAAATTGCAAACAACATAATCTGAAAAATTGGAAGAAAAATATTTAAGTTTACCAGGAAATTCGTGTTTTATAAATGAAAATTTGGCAACGCCTGAAGGTTCATACGGTGTTTCTCCTTTGCACGGCAGAATTTGCCATGGAAGATTCGGATGAACACCGGCTAAAAATAGGCGGATTTTCATCAAGTTCGACACAAATTCATTTCTGTCGATCGTATTAAAAAATTTCCATCGGAAGTTCCAATCTTATTATACTTTTAATTTTAAATAATCATAATTTGTTCAGCTTGAACTAAAACTCAACTTAAAACAGTGCCCAAAAATAGAGCAAAAATTCCAAATCTGTGGTTAGGTTCGGCCGCCATCAGGCATTCCTAGGATCGGGCAACCGATCTTCTCGTTTATCAGGAATCTAGTGGCTGAATTGAAATTGATTTTTTTATATTCAAAATATAGGGAACTACAATGGCGCAAAACCACCTAAACGCGAATTGTTCTCGATTTTCCCGAATAACATGTGGCAACGCTGAGCCACAGCGGAAGATAAATACATAAATAGATAAAACATGCATAAAATCCCTACTAATGTGGCCACTGCGGGTGAAAAATAAAGGTTTCTGAACTTGCGGAATGTTATTGACGAGGAACATCCTCCGAATTCTGAAAAACTAGGTTTTCCGTGAATTCAGGCAATAAAATATGGCAACAACGGTTTTTTTGGGGGGACTCTGAATCCAAAAAAGTTTTTTGAGGAAGATTTTGACCACCCACGTCCATTTATTGTCAAAAAAATTAAACTCTGGCGTAAGATGAGTCGCTTTTTTAAGCCATTTTAAATAACGATGAAAAACAGGAAAATTCTAAAAAGTTTTTTTAAACAATGAGCGCAAAGTTTGACATCAACAAAAATTGGCCAAAGTGACTCTCCTACATCCCTAATGAACATACTTGAAGGAATTTTTTGTCCTCCGAAGGGATCGGTATGAAACAGCGCGTTGAATGCCGAAAAACCAGCATTTTTCGCCAAAATCGGCCTTCAGACCCATGTTTAGGCCAGTGATAGACCCCGAAATAGATCGAAAATGACCAAACCATTATGCATTCCGTAAAATATAGACCTTCAATGACCAAAAAATCGCGGAGTTGAGGAATTTCAGGGTTGGCCCAAAAAAGGCCCTTTACGATACCCCTCCTTTGGATTGTGAAATGGAGATACGTGGTTTTTTACTTCAGGCGGTGCGATACGGACATCCATCTAGTTTCAATAGTTGCATCAAGTCCCCTTCACCGCCCACCAAGTCGTCTGTCGATCGAATCAACTACATTTAGTATGAGCAGGGAGTCGAAACGCCTTCAATTTTTTGAACGCAATACGGACATCCGTCGAGGTTGTATGGTTGTATCAAGGCGCCGTGGCAAACGCGTCCCATTGTTTATCGTTACAGACGAATATAAGTTGAGAGAGGAAAGTCATAATGCCTTCAATTGTATGCATACATATATTTGGGCAAAATGAGAAACGACGTTTCTCCATTTGCGACGTTGCAGACTTCCTTAGAAATTTTATTTTTCTTTCGAGAAGCTGGTCAACATAAAACTTAAATTCTCTATGATTTTTCGTGTTCGATAGCAGAAGATTTGATTCAAAATTTAAAGTCGTAAATTTGGATTGTGCAATGGAGATACGTGGTTTCGCACTTTCACACCCGTCATTTTTTTGCTAAAAATTCAAATTCTAATCCTGCCGATACTTTTGACCTATTCGATGCGATATATCGCATGCCAGTTCGACCACATCACTTGAGCTTGACGAATCACCTCTTACTTTTTCATATCATGTGGTTCCCTATAATTATAATAAATTTGAAGAAAAAAAAAAATATCCGACTCAGCTTGGAAACGAAGCGAGTACCATTAGTTTACCTCGGTACATACGTGTTTTTACGGATGAGCTAGAACATATACTTCTTAATTAAAAAAGTGTTGTCCATTTTATTGCGAGTCTTTATTGTCACTTATGAACAAGGGACACCCGATTTTTAACTTGTTATTGCCGTATGCATGGTCGTTCCTTAAATATCTACTTTCTTTACGAAGACCGTGTGGTTTACATTATCATCAAGGGGACCTTTTAAAAAATAGCATTAAAAGGATAGCCTCGGGTGGAATCCAACAAATAACTCTGGAAAAAGATCCTTGCAAAAATTACAATGATTTTGCATTTCATAAGATACATACAAAACCAATACTGAAATATTTCATGATTTGACGAATTTTGAAGTATATGGTAGGTACGCGTCTATCTTTCAAAATTAGCAATATTTTTCATGTATTTGCATTTTACATTTTTGTCCTGGTACTCGTAGCAATCCCTCGCGACTCTATTTTCAAATTCCTACCCTTGAGTTTTACTGGAGTTCGTATAAACTGTTCCTTTTTTGATGGTGTAAGAAATATGGGGATCTTCATTCAAGACAAGTAAATGATTTAAATTGAATACCTCGTTTCAAAAAATTTTGTCAACGAATTTTTATCCTCGCACCTGTTTTAACCAGTAGTTTATGTCCTTGCGTAAAATAGACATCAGTGACTCGGTTCATATTTTAGTCCGTATGTAAAATTATATTGGAAATATCGGGATGGGAAAATTGAGAGAGAGGGATGTGTTATTATGGTAACTCATTTTTTAAATGAAACGTTACTTTCCTCTCTTGATTCATCTTTTCAAATTGTCATTAGTGAATTATCACAATATCTCGTAGTAGCGTTTTTGATTTGAAAAAAAAAAAAATAAAAAAAAATAAAAATGTTTAAAAATCTAGGATTGAGTTAGAGCGTTATTGTTGCAGACAGCAGAGTATTCGAGTATTCTTTACACTGAAAAAAGATATTAGGTTCTTTCAGCACCTAAGATGTCAAAAATGTGTCTGGCAATCCTAAGATGCTGCCTTGATTGCCCACGCAATTGAAATTGAATTCAGAGAATGTAAAGTTAACTGCGGGGGCAGTAAAGGCAGTATCATGTGATCACCAGACACATTTTCGACATCCTAGATGCTAAAACATCATAATATTTTTTCAGTGTATCGTAAAATTTTTTCGTTTTCTGTGACAATGTCCTCAGGATCGTCCCTTTCTCGGAGCAAACCTCAAAGTACAAAGCGGAAACGCACCCTCCAAGCGGAAGTGGAACGCCCACAACCGGCTCCTCGAGCTTCGAGTCAACGGACAGCACCCCGCCGACGGCCGACGCATGGGCCAACTCCCAGAGCCAGCTGCCGGCCTCGACGCGACGCCAGAACTTCCGCAACGCCTGTCAGAAGGCCATCGACAAGACGCCCACCCAACCGCAATCCGCGCGCCGAGCCAACCCCCCGCGGACGCCCAAGTGGGCGCCGCCCAGCCAGAGCCGCAGCTTCGAGGGCGCCGCGACCCCCGAGCAGGGCGCCTACCGCGGCTACGAGCGCAATATCAAGTCGGCGCCGCCGCCAAAACGACGCCTTAAGGCCGTCCGCCGCAAGCTCAAGCCCTTCTACGGGAACCTCTCGGCCAGCGATGATGATAGTGGGGCCAAAGGTGGCCCTGGCGCCCTTACTAGGCGCCGCGCCCCTTTCTCCAACGGGCCGAAGGAGGTCGAGACTATGATCTCCCTGCTTAGCCCCACTGACAGCGAGACAGAGACTGATGGACCTGATCCGCTCGTTCTCTTGCAGGTGAGGAATAATGATACACTGGGAAAAAAAAAAAAAAAAAAACACATTGGATATAAAGTACGGACTCTTAAAAACATAGACAAAAAATACTCTTGATTCAATCAGATCTAACCTTAAATCAAGAACCAAACCTCTTAATTTAAGCGGATTTCCTTTTGATTTAAGCTTAAATCTGATTGAATCAAGAGTCTTTCTTCTTGTCAATGTTTTCAAGAGTCTGGACCCTAGATCCAATGTGTTTTTTTTTCCAGTGTAAGGGAAAGGTCCACGATAAGATACCGATACCTTCCGAGGAAAGTATCACAAGCGCCATGTGACGTTTAAAAATTCCCGCTGCCATTTTATTTTTTTACAGAGAAATTGTTGGTTGAATCTGTTCGAAAATTTCACTGAATTTTATCGGCAGCACCAAGAGTATTCAGTAAAATTTTCGGGAAGCTACGTTGAACGATTTCTCTAGAAAAAAATTAAAAGGCGGCGGAAATTTTCAAACGTCATACGGCGATTGTGATACATCGATGCACTGCAAAAAGGGTGATGCTCGTATGATTTTGACTCAGCTAATCCACATTAGTGCTGAGCAGATACTTATTGGTACTACACGGCAAACATGTTTGTGTTGTACTTCAACTTATTCTGCCGTGCTAAGTATGGAAGCCATTTGAGCCTCCAGACATTGCCAAATGTCCTCTGTTAAAATTCGAATTTTTATTGAAATCGGTGAAAATTTTTCCATCGAGTTTTTAGAGAATTTTATTCGCAATTAAATCTAAGTTATCTGGAAGTTTCAAGAGAGAATATTCATAATTATTCTCCTAAAAAATAAACTATGTTGAAGACGATTTGGCAGCTCTTGAACCTTTCCGGACCCTTCAGGACCCTAGAGGACCTCAGCATGGCAGTATTGGATCTGTGCTCCGACTTTAATTAATTTTGTACTCTAACTAATTTTGTGCCGCTAAAATATATTGGAGTACCAGTACAACTCCAATACGTATGCTGACAAGTACCGATTAGTTTGAGTTCAAAATTAGTTTGTGTAACCTGAATCAAAAGTACCACATTATTTTCCCAGCGTGGTGAAATTTCCAAAATACTTGCAGTATTCACAAGATTATTCGAAGTCGGGTAAGAAGCATTCCTACTCTATGAGTTTGAGCGTTGCATAATCAAATACTTAAGACTCTAGTTTTGTTTGCCTGCTCAGTGTGCTTAAAGCGCTAGTTCACCTTCCTTGCATTTGTGTCCTCTTCCGTGCAAAAAAAAAAAAAAAAAAAAA